AGTCAGTGCACCTCTGTAAAGGCAGGGAAGACCTGGTGCCTGGCACCTGCACTGTTAAGATCAGGGTAGTATAATACACCTGAAGGTGGAAGGTCCTGGAAGAAGAACAATCCCGCATAAAAAATGAGGCTGCTAGTTGTGCAGGCAGGCAACAAGTGGCCATGCCTGAGGAAACCTGAAGGTGATCTGTGAGGGTGACACTCAAAGATGACACCGGACCGTGACACTTGAGCAAACACATGGGTGATACCTGAGTGAACATGAACAGTGACACCTGAGAAAGTGTGACACCTGAGTTAGTAAGTGCTGTTGTTTCGAGTCAATAAATGTTTATGAGGGTATCCATAATTGATATCAACTTTCCACCTTGATCTCAGCTGGCTTTCTTGTACACCATCATATATATTACAGACAGAGTATCGATGGTAATGAGATAACACACTGACTAACAAGAAATTTCTTTCTGCTTTTCTCAGGAAAGATAACTTAGGATAGAGCAGTGCATAAAACTCCTCCGGGGTAGAGGAAGTGATCTGACACCAGACTGCCCATAAACACAATGATGGCCCATAGCTAAGGAAAAGGGACTTCCTCCCACCATTTGCTCCTTTCCCCTTCAGTTGGTTTACTCTTCAGGGATAAAGGCATCATGGGGATCAACTCTCCTGCAACTCCCTGCCAAATAAAGGAATGTCTGGGGAAGAGGGGGAAGAGGACCACAGCAAATAGGAGTATGAGAAACAATTTCCTTAGGACTCCACAATGGAGGGAGCTCTGGACAGGTTAAGAATGGTCAGTCTCAGGGAAGCCCCTTCAACACATCTCACGAACTTTTGTTCTTTATCTGCTTTTACAATTGCTAGAAAGGGGCTCTTGGTTCTTAGGTAACTCTAAAATAGCCACACTCACGTGCTATCCTCAGGTTTTAGATCCCAGGACTCAGGAATATGATCATCACACAAATATGAGGTCCCGGCCCTTAAGCAAAATTTACCTATTTGTCCTAGCAAAAAGAAACTGTTAGAAAAAGACATCAATGGTGGCTCGCCCTGCCATTTCACACACCCAAGTCCCTGGAAGGGTGTATTGAGAAGCAGTTTTAAAGGTAGGTTTTGCCAAGTACACAGCCTGTCCTTCTGGCCTTCTCTCTTTGCCTCTAGCCAAGCTTGCTGGATATACTAAACAAATGACTATAATGGCTGCAGGCTGCATGTTAGAATCACCTGGTGAGCTTTTAAAATAATACCTACCTTCATACATTGTTGGTGGGAATATAAAATGGTGCAGCCACTTTGGAAAACAGTTTGGCAGTTCCTCAAAAAGTATGACCCAGTAATTCCACTCCTAGGCATAGACTCAAGAAAACTGAAGACATAGGTCTACACAAAAACTTGTACGTGAATGTTCATAGCGGTATTATTCATAACAGTGGTTTCTATAAAAGTGAAAACAACCTATGTATCTATCAACTGATGAATGGATGAACAAAATATGAATAATATATCCATAATAGAATATTATTTGGTCTTAAAAATGAAGTACTTATATATGCTACAACACGGATGAACTTTGAAAATACGCTAAATGAAAGTAGCCAGGGACAAAAAGTTGCCTATTGCATGATTCCATTTATATGATATGGCCAAAATAGGCAAGTCCATCGAGAAAGAAATTAGTGGTTGCCAGGCCTGGAGGCAGAAGAAATAGAGAGTAACTGCCAAAGGTACAGAATTTCACTTTGAGGTGATGAAAATGTTCTGGAATTAGATAGTGGTAATAGCTGCACAACTTTTTGAATATTCCTTAAAAATCACTAAATTGTATATTTTAAAAGGGTGATTATTATGATATAACTTAATAAGATATGTGGGGTGCCTGAGTGGATCAGTCAGTTAAGCATCCAACTCTTGATTTTGGCCCACCCCCATTTGTGCTCGTGCTCTCTCTCATGCTCTCAAAAAAAAAAAAATTATATGTATATATACATATATATACATATACATATATATATATATAAGCCACTGATGCATACACTTTAAACAGGTGAATTTTATGGTATGTGACCTATATTTCAGTTTAAAATAATAATAATATCTACATTTGGACCTCACCCCAAGAGATTCTGATTTAATTGACCTCAGAGGGACTCAAGCATGCATTAAAAAGACACTGTGATGACAACGAGACAACATGCTTATGACAAATAACTGACAAATGACTCACATCTAGAATATACAAATCAGTAATAAGAGAAAGACAGATAACCCAAAAATGAGGGAAAGAACCTAACTGGCATTCCCAAAAGATGAAACCCGTAAGATAAATTAAAAATATGCAAAGTGGGGTGCCTGGCTGGCTTAGTCGGTAGAGCATGCAATTCTTGATCTCAGGGTTGTGAGTTTGAGCCCCACATTGGGTGTAGCGATTATTTAAAAATAAAATCTTAAAATTAAAAAAAATATATGAAAAGCTACTCAATTTAACTCTCAATCAGCAAAATGCAGAAAAAACCACAATGAGATTTAATTAAATAATTCCAGACTGGTAAAAATTTTAAAGTCAACAGAAAGTGTTGGCGAGGATGAAGAACAATGGGACTGCTCATACGCCGCTTGTGGTAGTGTACATAGCTTTGGACAGCAGCTGCACCACCTAGTGAAGATATGCATGTCCTTTGACCCAATCATTTCACAGCCAGATATATAACCTAAAGAACTCATATGCTAAATACTGGAATACATGTGTAAGGATATTCACGGTTACAATGTTCAGAATAGTGCCCAAAAAGAAACAATCCCAACTATCCATTAACAGAATGGTTAAATAAACTGTGGTATACTCATATGACTGAACACTATACAGCAAATAAAAACAAAATTACAGCCATATGCAAAAACATAGATGGAACTCAAAAGCATAATGTTGAGCAAAAGAAGACACTAAAAAATACAGTATGATTCTATTCATATAAAGTTTAAAAACAGGCAAAAACGAAGTTATATAGTTAATGGATGAATACATAAGTGGCAAAACTATAACAAAAAACAAGAAAGTGATTAGCGTAGGGGGCCTGGGTAGCTCAGCTGGTTAAGTGGCCGGCTCTTGATTTCAGCTCAGGTCAAAAATCTCAGGGTCCTGGGATAGAGACCTGAGTCAGGTTCTGCCCTCAGTGGAGAGTCTGCTTGGGATTCTCTCTCTCTCTGCCCCTCAGCCTGCATGAGCTTGTACTTTCCTTAGCGCTCTAAAAATAAATGAATAAATCTTAAAAAAAAAAAGTGATCAGCATAAATGTCAGGATTATAGGGGACTGTGACTGGAAAGTTGTATAGGGGTTTGTGGGATGCTAAAATGTTCTATTTCTTGATCTGCGTAATTGATTATAAAGGTGCTTGTTTCTTGGGGTGTCTGGGTGGCTCAGTCGGTTAAGTGTCTGCCTTCATCTCAGGTCATGATCCCAGGGTTCTGGGATCAAGCCCCACATTAGGCTCCCTGCTTGGCGGGAAGTCTGCTTCTCCCTCTCCTCCTGGCTCGCTGTCTCTCTCTCAAATAAATGAATAAAATCTTTAAAAAAAAGGTACTTATTTCTTTATACTAAACACATTCAGGCTTTAGGCATTTTTCTGTAGAGTGCTATTTTTCACAATAAAAATGGTTAAACCGTTTTTTTTTTAACCTAAGGGGGAAAAAGCTTCCTAATGATACAATATAAAGCTAGGGTTGAGGACCACTGCATTAAAGGAAGAGTCACCAAAAGTATATTTGTACATAAGTTAATAAATCCCCAGAATGGGAAAAAATTTAAATATTTTAAACTCTGTGTGTGTGTATGTTTTAATATTTTAAACTGTTAACAGTTATCTCTAGTGGGGAGTAGGGAGTTGTATATAGTAAGTTGGAGGTGGCCTTTATTTTTCTATCTTCTTATATATTTTTGTAAGGTTTATATCTAATAATGAACAAGTGTTAAAAAATAACTTTTATTATTGTTAAAGATTTTTATTCATTTGAGAGAGAGCACCGAGGGAGAGTGAGAGGGAGAAGCAGACTCCCCCTGACCCACTGAGCAGGAAGCCTGATGTGGGACTCGATCCCAGGACTCCAGGATCATGACCTGAGCTGAAGGCAGACGCTTAACCGACTGAGCCACCCAGGTGCCCCAAAAGATAACTTTTAATAGAAGATTTAAAAATAGCTTTGAAAAAAAAATACCTTTGGAAGGATATACAAAAAAACTATTAAGATTAGTTGCTTCAGTTTGAAAAGGGAATGGAAGGGATATTTTCATTGTAACTCTTGAATTTTTTTTTAAAGATTTTATTTATTTATTTATTTGAGAGAGAGAGAAAACCAGCAGGGGGAGGAACAGAGGGAGCGGGACAGGCAGATTCCAAATTGCGCACAGAGCCCGGCGCGGGGCTCCATCTCATGATCTTGAGATCATGACCTGAGCTGAAACCAAGAGTCAGATGCTCAACCGACTGAGCCACCCAGGCATCCTTGTATCTCTTGAATTTTGAACCCACATTAAAGTATTACCTATGGGGAAAAAAAATTTTTTTTAAAGTAATCTCTACACCTAACATGAGCTCAAACTCACAACCCTGAGATCAAGAGCCACATGCTCTACTGACTAAGCCAGTCAGGCACCCCTTACCTCTTCAAATTTTTAGTTAAAGTAAGGATATTTCTCTCCAGCAGCTTTTCCTACTACCATAGAAATATATACACTGGCAGCCTGTGAAACTAGCACAAGAGTATCCCTCTCATGCATTAGGTTCTCCCACATGCTCCATGGCACTGAGACAACAACCCTGTAGAGAAGGGAGCTATCCTCTTAGAGGACTCACATTTTACAAACGTTGAAGTGGCATGCTTGTCATGGCCCTTTGGCTACATCTGAGTCCATTATATTTGCTAGATAGCAAAATGAATTCTTTCTCTGTACTTAGGCTGCTGTGGGGTTGGGGGGGGAGGGGAGGTAGTAAGGAAAGAAGAGTTACCTCTAAGAGGTGCTCCACACTATCCACCTGAAGTTCTTGCAGTCCCACTATCTGTACCACGTGCTTGCTATCTTCTCTTGCAAAGAGCCTGCAGATACAAGAACACGGTTGGTATGGCAGACCTGCTATATAATGGACTTTGTTCTTGCCTCCCCAGAAACCATTCCATCATTCCCCTATTAGGTAACAGTTCTGTTGAGTGAGATTGATGTGTATCCTCACCGCCCACTCCCACAACTCCTGACCTCAGCCCTGGGCTTCAGAGATGGTCCTTGACTGTTGTAAACAAGTCAGCACCTTTGGCTATAATTAAAAGAAGGAACATATGATCCAGACCTATGCCAATCAGTGGATGGTATATTCGTGGCTTCAGTGATTGGTTCAGGACTGGATATGGGATCTCTGCTGGTCCAAGCAAAATAAAGTCCTAGTCTCTGGTTGTTAAGTGCCTGGGAGTGAGATGCTGGTGCTCTTTCTGGAAGTGAAAGTATATGTGGCCCTGGGAGCAGTGGCAGCCATTCTGTATCCACTAGAGAGCCAGTTTTGGAAGCTAACATCATAGAAGGCAGAGCTGAGCAAAGAAATTGGTCCTTATAACACCCCTGAGCTCCTAGAGTAAACAGACCCTAAGGCCTGATTCTCTTCTAGGCTTTCTAGTTATATGAGCCAATGACTTCGCTAAATAACTTAAGCCAGCGTAAGTGGGGTTCTACTTTATTTCCAACATAAGGTGTCTTGATATATCTTCCAAGGGAGGAAGGAAGATTTGGTGCTGTAACTGAATTTCTCAGGCCTATGTGTAAGGTTATGGTCAATTAAACCAGATGAAACCCCAGACACATCAAGGTGCACATATTAAATCTATTAGAGACTCTAAGATTATTTTTTTCCCTTAATAAGATAGTGATTGAGGTTAAGAATGGAATTCCACTTTACAGCCAAAAAAGGAAAGATTTTCTCAAAAAAATTTCTTTTTTTTTTACAAAAGATTTAATTAATTATTTATTGGGGGGGATGGGAGGAAGAGCAGAGGGAGAGGGACAAGCAGACTCCCTGCTGAGTGAAGAGCCTGACTCGGGGGTCACTTCCATGACCCTGAGATCATAACCTGAGCAGAAACCAAGAGTCGGACACTTAACCAGCTGAGCCACCCAGGTACCTCTAAAAACTTTTTTTTCTTAGATTATGTTTCACCCCAAGTTTCCAAATTTTAACATAAGGATTGGAGGAAAACAGCTTCACCAATCCCTGTGACCTATCAGGAAACAACTATTAGAACAGTCAGGCTTCTGGAATAAAAGAAGGATCTAGCTTTCAGAGCCCTCATGTCATTCCTGAGCATACTTTCCTAGGCCCTACATGCTGAGCTCACCCCAGAAAAGTTCCTAATGGACAGCCCAAAATGTACTGCTAGATTTTTAAATCTTATAAGCAAGAAGTATATTTCTATCACTTTTTATGCAAGGGTATAAAAACAATCTAACCTCTACTTTTAAGAGTTAATTCGGGACTTCATACCTAACATAATTGCAGTTTCAACCTCCCCCAGAAATGTTTCTTAAACCCATCAATCAGAAATTTCCGATAAACACCAGTGAGGTAATCTGTCACATGGGCCCTCTCTACCCCTCCAAAGGAAATTGAGGTAATTGACCTAATAAGACCCCCTGCCCTTCCCCAAGGAAGGTGATCTTGCCTGGAACAATCTTTTCTTTTCTTTTGCTACTTTCTCTCTCCACCCTCCTTTCTATAAAAATCTTCCATTTTGTACAGTTCCTTGGACCTCCCCTCTACTTGCTAGATGGAATGATGCCTAATTCATGAATTGCTTAGTAATGCCAATTAGATCTTTAAAAAAAAAAGTTAATTTGAAGATCCATAAGCTTTGGTTTCTAGCTTAAGAGGTAGACTGAGGGGGCGGCTGGTGGCTCAGTTGGTTAAGCATCTGCCTTCAGCTCAGGTCATGATCCCAGGGTCCTGGGATTGAGCCCCATGTCAGGCTCTCTGCTCAGCGGGAGCCTGCTTCTCCCTCTCCCTGCCGTTCCCCCTGCTTGTGCTCTCTTCTCTGTCAAATAAATAGATTTAAAAAGGGAGGTGGACTGAGCATATATGTTTCTGTTCACCTTTGTCAAAGTCTTACTATTACTTTTAGGATAAAGCATAACAGCTCTAAACAAAAAGAAAGGGTGCCATCAGGAGATCAGGACATTTCAGGGGTCCCAGGAAGATAGGCAAAAGAGATACTAGCCAACTAACCAGAGATATAAAAACAAAAAGAAAACACCCACAGCCCAAGACACTTGCAGAGGAAGTGCGGGTCTTCCTAGTGAGCCCTAAAAAGAAGGTTCAAAGCCAGGAGTTAGCATATCCCATCCCCTTGACTGCAATTCAAGAATGCAAATATAAAGGGCAATATATCTGAGTAACTCATTAAAGAACCACACTCACAAATAGCTGACTAGATATCCTGACTGTCCCTTCACCCAAACAAACTGGATGGATGGAGACAGATAGGACAGATGGATGGATGGATGGATGGATGGATGGATGGATGGATGGATGGATGGACGGACGGACGGACGGACGGACGGACACACACACACACACCACAAGACCTTTTATTCTCCTGCCAATTGTTCTTTAAACAAAGAGGACTTCAACTACCTCCATTTTGACCTCAAACTTCCTAATTGATTAAGTTCTTTCCAGCTTCTCTCTTCACTCAAGAGAAAAGACCCTGCAGGAAAAGCATCCCCATAAAGGAATCTGAACTACCCTCACTACCCCCTCAAGCAATAAGGACTGCCCTGAGCCAGCAAGACCCCACCCATGACTGACATGATCAACTTGACCTTCACCACCCACCTACGTGTACCCACCAACCTTTGTCCCGTGTTTTCCTTACATAAACCTAGAAGTAAAAAAGGGAGAGGGGCGGCCGGGGTGGGGGGTGGGGTCTCGGTTAAGTGTCTGCCTTTGGCTCAGGTCCTAATCTCAGGATCCTGGGATGGAGCCTAGCATTGGGCTCCCCGCTCAGTGGGGAATCTGCTTCTCCCTCTGCCCCTCCCCTTGCTCAGGCTCTCTCGCACTCTTTCTCAAATAAATAAAATCTTTAAAAAGAAAACCCAAAACAACAACAAAAAACTCCCAAGAAGTAGTATTTCTGGCATGTTGGAGGCAGTCTTTGAAATGTTATGAAATGAAATGTCTTGAACTATCTTCCCAGCGTTGGCCTCACTGAAATAAATTCCTTTCTTGTTTCACCACCACTCATTTCTCTGACTTTGGATTTTTCAGTGGCTAGTAGTTGAACCTGGTCTGTTTGGGAGCCCCAGAGCCAGATGCTCTAGCATCCCAATGCCTGGCTATATTCTGACTGGAAAGGGCTCCTAAAAAAGAGTGTGGGGGCTCGGAAGAGAAGCTGTAATTGAGCTAACTTGAGGCTTCAAAACCAACAGAGAGGGTAAAAAAGAAAAGCAACTCTTCTCCAAAGCAAACCCAAAGCAGAACCCTCCTTTACTTGGCAGTTGCTATGTCAGGAATGAACCCTGAACACCTGTACATTCTCTGAATTGTGCCATACCTGAAGGTCCCCTTTTCTTTGGAATAGTCCACAGCTGGTGGTCTGCCCAAGCCTAGCTGCTGTCTTCTCCAGTTTCACAACTCAATACCCTAGTGCCCCTCTGCCATGGGGGCCTGTGCTATAATGCTCTCCCTACTGAACTCGGGCTGCTCTTCTACCCCCACCCCCCATTCCGGTGCTTGCCTGGAGCATGTGGAATGTGCACATCCTTTTGGACAGCTCTGTAGGGGCTAGGATTCCTTTGCTGGAGGCTAGTTTCTGTCACCGATTTGGCTTCCCCAGCCTTCCACCATGCTTAGCCTCAACTCTCTCCACTTGATGTGGCTGATCCCAACACGTCACAGGTCTGGTTAATTCTGTTATGACACCCTTTTATCCATCTACCTCCCCTATTCCATCTCTCCTCCTTATTCTCCCAGTTGGTACCTTCACAACTTCATTGCTTCCTGCTCAATTAAAGTCATCTGTTTCAATCTAAACAAAACTTTACACCAGAAAAATACAATAGGGATTTAAAGCCAGTTGACTGAATCCATTTCTAAATTACTGTATCATGTTGCAAGGGCAACAGTTTAAGAGTTACAGAGCAAAAAGTCTACTGTGAAGAAGAGAGATTTTTTTACTGATTTCAGAAAACTACCATTAAGTTTACCCTAAGATTGAGGGGGAAAAAAATAAGTGAAAGCAGGAAACATTATTTATAGTTCTTCCAGTGTAATAATAGGTCAAAAGAATAGGAAGGGATTTAAGTACATGTTGATATCCTCACTTCCTGAAATCATGACCTTTTTCATAGACCAAAAGGGATAGTCTTTTAATAAACATTAGGATATTGATTACTAAAAAAAAAAAAAAAAAAAAACACTAATGGAAGGCTAATTTACATTTTTCTCTAGCTGAACTGGCACTTTATTTTTATTTTTTAGTTTTTGAACTGGCAGTTAAAAAAATATTCATCTGGGGCACCTGGGTGGCTCAGTTGTTAAGCGTCTGCCTTCGGTTTAGGTCATGGTCCCAGGGTCCTGGGATCAAGCCCCATGTCGGGCTCCCTGCTCAGCAGGAAGCCTGCTTCTCCCTCTCCCACTCCCCCTGCTTGTGTTCCTGCTCTCACTATCTCTGTCAAATAAATAAAATCTTAAAAAAAAAAAAAAAAGAGAGAGAAAGAAAAACATAGTCTCTTTTTAAAAAAAAAAAAATTCCTGACTCAGGAGACTAATTTCACAAAAAGGCACTAATATAACAAGGCCTCACATCAAATCCCATGATTCAGTGATTCTGTGGGACTCTGGCCTAAAACAATATCCACAAATATAGTTTCCCACTCATAATCAGTACCTTTTTCTTCTATTTAAGAGGTCATAAAGTTGTCCACAGTAGATTTCATAGAAGCTGATCCACACGAAGAGGTGCCTTCTTGGCTGGGATATTTCTAGTTGCCTGAATATATCTTTGGCAGCCAGAGCATAGAGTCCTGGGTTCTGATGAGTTCCTATCATGGTGTAGGTCTTCCCAGCACCTGTCTGTCCATATGCGAAGCAAGTGGCATTGCCTCTAGGGAAAAAAGTCATTTGTATAACATATATACGAAGAGAAATGCTAATCTACACATAGATTTTTCATGACAAAAGTCAGATAGAAACAGAATCCTGTTCATAGCTGGTAAATTTCAGCTATAAGTATACAATTCTTTAAGGAGAGGAGGGCTTTATATATATACATATATATATATATTTTTAAAGATTTTTATTTATTTGACAGAGAGAGCACAAGCAGAGGGAGAGGGAGGGAGAAGCAGGCTCCCTGCTGAGCAAGGAGCCCGATGTGGGACTCAATCCCAGGACCCTGGGATCATGACCTGAGCCGAAGGCAGCCGCTGAACCGACTGAGCCACCCAGGCATCCCGAGGAGGGCTTTATACTATAAAAACATAGGAAGAAGAAAAAACATTCTCAAAGCAGTACATGAGTTTTTTTTTTCTTAAAGATTTTATTTATTTGACAGAGAGAGACACAGCAAGAGAGGGAACACAAGCAGGGGGAGTGGGAGAGGGAGAAGCAGGCTTCCCACCGAACAGGGAGCCCGATGCGGTGCTTGATCCCAGGACTCTGGGATCATGACCTGAGCCGAAGGCGGACACTTAACGACTGAGCCACCCAGACGCCCCAGTACATGAGTTTTTTAATAGGATTTTTTTTTTAATGGAACTGGTTATACCATAAGACAAGGACCCCATGCTCTAGAGAATTCTGTAGAAGACGAGTTTGCCTTAATCCTAAAAGGTAAGTTTGATGAAAGAAGTAATAGAGAATTAAAATAAATACAAGAAGTAATGGAAGACCATATGATGAACAGGGTGGTACTGACTACACTTATAAATACTAAGTTTAGACAGAGGTAAAATCAGTATAAGAAAAATATTTGAGGAAGAACTCACAAAAGGGCTTTTTTTAAGAGTCTCAGTTTTCACTTTCATTAATAAATTAATGGGTTACTTGATTTTTAAGATCCCTTCTAACTCTGACATCATGTGATGATCACTATTCTTGCATGTGGGTGGGTGTGTGCGTGGGCATGAGTGTGAAGAACTGCAGAATAAGAGTTGGGAGACTAATCTGCCAATCATGTTTTCAGAGGAGCCAGAGGCCAAGGTTATCTGAGTACCAGAGGCCCAACATATAGTACAGAGTAGAAAGTGACCATAATGTTAAATAGTATTGACTCTTGAACAGGAATCGCATGAGTTAATGATAAAAGTAGCTACCGGCACCAAGAAGAAACGTCTATGTATAGACAGAGAGGTAGGGGGATACTGGTGGTGGGCAGAGAGATGAACATGAAGAAAGGAGCCTGAAGCCAGAAAGAAACCAAAGAACGAGTAATAGCACAACAGCAAAGGAACCATGGAAGTGTGAGAAAAGATTTAATTTAATCAGATTTAAGCTGCTTGAGCGGAGACCAGTTACTCCTTGTCTTTTGAATCCAGGCTCCTGCTGTGTAGGCACTTGAACACACTGGCAAAGGCACAGTGAGGAAAAGGATTAAAGGAGGAAAATGTGAACACACTAAAGAAGATTTAGCAGAATGAGACTAAATAATTATCTACCCTATCTTCTGAACATCTTTTTTTTTGTTTTGTTTTTTGAGAGAAAGAAAGAAAATGCAAGTGGGGTAGAGGGAGAGGGAGAGGGAGAATGAGAATCCCAAGCAGGCTCCACACCCAGCGCAGAGCCGAATGCGGTACTTGATCTCACAATTGTGAGATCATGACCTGAGCAGAAATCAAGAGTTGGAAGCTTAACCAATTGAGCCACCCAGCTGCCCCATCTTCTGAATATTTTAATGATGAGCTTTCTGAAAAACAACAACAAATATGCATATGAAAAATCTATTACCCTTTGCAGAATGGATGCATTTAACTTGTTCCTCTTTTTTAAATATTTATCTATTTATTTTAAAGAGAGAGAGAGCACGCATGTGCACGCAAGCACAAGTCGGGGGGGGGGGCTGCAGGTGGGAAGGGGGAGGGAGAGAATCTCAAGCAGACTCTCACAGGGAGCTCAATCTCACAACCCTGAGATCATGACCTGAGCCAAAATCAAGAGCCTGAAGCTCAACTGACTGAACCACCCAGGTGCCCCTGCACCTTTTATTTGTTCTAAATCCAAATTCTAACTTTAGAAACTTGCTCTCTTAAAAAGTATTCCCTAGATTTGGCATATAAGAAATTGAACCTGAAAGATATTTCACTTTTTCAGCCTGCTCAGAATAAAAAAAAATTTTAATGATGTCTACAAAACAACAAACAACAATAAAAAGAAAACAAAAAGACTGGACAAATGAAGTTATCTGAATGACCAATGAGCAAATGAAAAGATTCTCAATATCATTAGGCATTCGGGAAATTCAAATTCAAACCACAATGAGATCAAGTTCCATACCCATTAGATTGGCTAAAATAAAAAAGACTGACAATACCAAATATGGTGAGGATGTAGAAATGCTATTCACAGGGCACCCCTGCCCCTCCCTGCCACACATGCACATGCTCTCTCAAATAAATAAATAAATCTTAAAAAAAAAAGAAAGAAATGCGATTCACATACATACATCGCTGTTGGGAATAGAAAATGGGTGTATGGAACACTGTTTGACACTTTCTTATAAACATGTACCTATCCTATGACTCAGCAATTCCCCTTCTAAGTTTCACCCAAGATAAATGAAAACATGTCCAAGAAAAAGACTTGTACAAGAATGTTTATACAGGGGGCGCCTGGGTGGCTCAGTCATTAAGCATCTGCCTTCGGCTCAGGTCATGGTTCCAGGGTCCTGGGATCGAGCCCCACATCGGGCTCCCTGCTCAGCGGGAAGCCTGCTTCTCCCTCTCCCTCTGCCTGCAGCTCCCCCTGCTTGTACTCTCTCTCTCTGTCAAATAAATAAATAAAAAATCTTAAAAAAAAAAAAAAAAAGAATGTTTATACAGCTTTATTCACAATAGTCCCAAACTGGAAACAACCTAAATGTCCATCAATAGGAGAATGGATAAATTGTGGTATTTTCACAGAAAGGAATATTACTCAGCAATAAAAACTATGGATACATGCAACATGTACTAATATCAAAAAACATTATGCTAAGCCAAGCATAAAAGAACCTATGTGGGAATGATTCTATTTCTGTGACAATCTAGAACAGGCAAAACTAATCTATAGTGACGGAAAGCAGGTCAGTGATTATATAAGTCTGAGGGTGGAAGTGGAGATTTACTAAAAGGGGACAACAAGAGAACCCTCTGGGGTGATGGGAATGGTCTACTATCTTGTTCGAGGTATTGGTTACCTGGATATAGACAACCACCAAAACTCATCAAACCTGAATACTTCTTAAGATCTGTGCATCTAATTGTATGTGAATTATACCTCAATATATTTTTCTAATATTTTATTTATTTATTTGAGAGAGACAGCGAGAGCCGGAACACAAGCAGGGGGAGCGGGAGAGGGAGAAGCAGGCTTCCCACGGAGCAGGGAGCCCGATACGGGGCTCAATCCCAGGACCCTGGGATAATGACCTGAGCCAAAGGCAGACACTTAACGACTGAGCCACCCGGGCGCCCCATACCTCAATATTTTTAAAGTTATAAAAATTATTTTTAAAAAGTCAAACTACTCTGGAATCAGTGATACTAGTAGGCTGTTTGGCATTTTCTATCTATACGGGCCTATATTTCGAATAAACAACAGAAGTCCTTAGTGCCTTTTTGTTCCCATTTAATGTTTATTAAGTGTGAATAATTATTTCAAAATTTAAAAAATACATCTATAAAAAACAGATGATAGTCTCTTATCCTATCTCACTCCAATGAAAAAAGTAACTGAGCTATAGACAGAATACATAATTCCTATTATCGAAAGTTCAAACTACAAACATTTAAACCTTTTTATTCTGAGAACTTTGATGAAATTATATTGTTGACAACTTATATTTTTGCTGAAAATTTCTGAATGCTTGGTGAATCCTATAGGGACAATGCACTCTTTAGAAGAGTCTAAATTCATCAGATTAAAACACAAATTCATGTCTAATTCAAAAACTGAAAAACATAAATGATATTTATAAAGAAATTTGTTATGGAAAACAGTATGAAGCAAGAGAAGCAAATAATTACTATCATACCCATTGAAAATATGCTGAATGAGTGGGTGAGTAGTCTTCATGTATACATCCCGATTGGTGCATGCTTCACCAAAGACTTCATCAAAATAAAAAACATGCTGAAAAAGAAATGTGATTTTTATAGAAGAGACATTTTCTGGATTTTCTTCACCACTATTCTAGTTAACACATACTAAAGGTGCTAGTATGTTTTTTAACTAAGTAACTGACTATGACAAACTTAGAGATAAATAAGCAATCAATAACTATCAAATGACAGGGCCTTCTACTTGAGATCTCTGTAGACATGTTTTTATAATATAAAAACTAAAGCACACAATTTTTGTTCTTTCTTAAGTAAAGTAAACTGATGAGTACAAGAGTGAGCCAATCCTCCTTAAGTCCAGGAGAAATGAATTCTCTAGGGATTATCTTCATAGCCCAGCTAGGGCCAGCATATTTGAAATATGGGGGAATTCTAGAGGAAGACTTCCATTTCATAGGTTACACAGCTAAGCTTTTCTTTCCTTTTTGAAAGATTTTATTTATTTGAGAGACAGAGAGAGCACAAGCTGGGGGTAGGGGACAGAGGGAGAAGCAGATTCCCCACTGAGCTGGGAGCCCAACACGGGGCTCAATCCCAGGACCCAGAGATCATGACCTAAGCTGAACACAGACGCTTGTTAAACCAACGGAACCACCCATGCGCCCCCACAGCTGAGCTTTTAATCCCATGAACATTTATTGCTCAGTTGGTAACATGTATAATTGCAGTAGACACTTCAAAGGGCCCAAAGATACAGATATTACCCTACTACTACCCCACCCCACCACCTAAAGATGTGAATCCAGATAAGTATACAAATGATTCTAAGCTAGAAAAAATCTGACAGATAAAGTACATGTGGAATTCAAAAGAAAAACATATGCCTTCTGATTGGGAAAGACATTATGAAAAAGACTGTACACAGAAAGGGCTGAGGGGGAAGAAGAGGAATTTAAGAGTTAGAGATGGAGGCAGGGAAGATACTCCAGCCACAGGGAAAACATGAGCAACAGTCAAATCAGGAAAGCACAAGGAACATTTAGGGAACAGAGAAGATTCAGTGTGGTTAAAACATAGGATCTTGGTAGGTAGAAAGGTGAAACAGAAGGCTAGAATAATGAGTTAGGACTATGTTGCATGGGTATTGGGACACTAGCCTTAAGGATGGAATGTTTATATTTAATTTAGCAAAGAGTGGGAAGACAATAAAAAACCTTGCAAAGGAAAGGGATGATGTGAGCCATTTTACTGGAAGATTAAACTGGCTTCACACTGTGAATGGACTAAGAACAGGGACACTGGTAATCCAGTGGTGAGTTAAGAAGTTAGGTCTAAATTCGATGATGACAAAGCAAATAAAGAGATGGATGCATGAAAAATTTGGCAACTGCCTGAGAGTAGTCCAAGATGATCCCCAAATGAAAAATCATGTAATCTGGAAAAGGATAGAAGACCCTATTAAACTGTCTGGAAAGCATTAATTTAGCAGACATAATCATTTGCATAACTTAGAGGCTATTGGCAGCCCAACTATCTCTGAGTAAAAATTCTAATTTCAAGCCTGACTGTAGCATAATAATGGCAGTCCATATACAATTAATGAGACATAAGGTCCTTTCTTCTGCTACCTCTTGGGCCTGCTCCAAATATCCAGTTAAAGGGAAATCCAGCAAAGTGAATTTGGGCCAATTTATTACATGGGTCATTCTACCCAGGTTTGATTCTGTTTTGTGTACCATTACATTACATTAGAATAGCAGTTTGTTAGGTCACCTTAGCAGAAAGTGGGGCCACAAAGTTGAATTTACCAGTTAGAAAATATTACCAAAAGCTAGAAAATAATGAATCTGTGGAGCACAATAAAGAGATCTGTGAGCTTTTTAGTGGTATGAAATATGTGATACGATTTTAAGAACAATAAAATGTTTCTAACTGTTGAATTTGGGTGGTAGGTACATAGGGGTTCATTGCATTTTTGAATAAACTTGAAAATGGCAATAAGAAGAAGTAAAACATATTTCTAATATTTTTTTTTAGCATTTCTCACGAAAATAAGGAAGAAAATGAACACAAGTAAATGTGGGAATTTTTTAAAATTTTCTTTTACTTCATTGAGTATATGGCTATTCTTTCTCTACTTCTTTTTTTTTTTTAAAGATTTTATTTATTTCAGAGAGAGAGAGAATGAGAGATAGAAAGCACGAGAGGGAAGAGGGTCAGAGGGAGAAGCAGACTCCCTGCTGAGCAGGAAGCCCGATGCGGGACTCGATCCCAGGACTCCAGGATCGTGACCTGAGCCGAAGGCAGTCGCTCAACCAACTGAGCCACCCAGGCGCCCTCTTTCTCTACTTCTATAAGTGCATGTGAATAACTTTAGCTCTTGAGTAAACACCTTAGAAAACACTTATTGATTAAAGGCATTAGTATCTTTCCTTCCAATAGGATTTAGGTACTGATTTTCCCGGTACTTCTGTAAATATCCTTAATGAAAGATATGTGAACATGCAAGATTATAATTAACATATATATTACATAAATATAATAAATGCTAGCACTACATATATATTTATATGTAAATATATACATATATAGATATCTAGATATCTATATATATTCCATAAAGTCCTTTGCATAATGTGTATTTCATTTAATCATACTTTATTAGGTTGTATTAATACTCACTTTAGCCTTGTAATGATCAGAGTTCCATAATTTATTTTTTAAATAAGTTTTTTTATATTATAAAAATAATATGTATTTATAAAATATCTCTGGAAAGATAGACTTAGAACAGGTAATTGTGGTTGCCTTCAAGAAGGAAATATGATTAGCAGGACACTTTTCGCTGCATACCTTTTTTTTTTTTCAATATTTTACTTATTTGACAGAGAGAGCACAAGCAGAGGGAGAGGCAGGCAGAGGGAGAGGGAGAAGCAGGCTCCCCACTGAGGCTGAGCAGGGAGACTGCTATGGGGCTCAATTCCAGGACCCTGGGATCATGACCTGAGCCGAAGGCAGAGGCTTAACTGACTGAGCCACCCAGGCACCCCACTGCATACGCTTCTGTATGTTTTGATTTTGAAATAGGTGAATCCATCTTACTCAAAAGTTTTTACTTTTCATATAAAAGTAACAAGCTGATTATAGAAAAATTTAAAAACATGGAAAACAATAGAGAAGAAAATCAAATTTATGTATAAATCTTACTACTCCAGAGATAGCCACTATTGACTTTTTGATATATTTCAGTACCATCTCTTTTTTCTACACATATTTCTTTATTTAAGAAGCTGGAATGAGGGGCGCCTGGGTGGCTCAACTGTTGGGCATCTATCTGCCTTGGGCTCAGGTTGTGATCCCAGGCTCCTGGGATCGAGCCCCGCATCAGGCTCCCTGTTCAGCAGGAAGCCTGCTTCTCCCTCTCCTACTCTCCCTGCTTGTGTTCCCTCTCTGTGTCTCTCTCTGTCAAATAAATAAATAAAATCTTAAAAAAAAAAAAAGCTAGAATGAAATATATACAAATTCGTTTCCTTGTCCTTTCACATATTGATACAAAATTTAATGGTAAGTAGGAAAGCGCACTGCATGTATATGACCGTATATATACTAAGTAACAAAAGAAGATTTGAAAGGATAGAATATTTAATTAAATGGATACATAAACCTGGTGTTTGAATTTTTGAATAAGTTTAAAAATTAAAGCCCAAAGAATCTAGGATCAATATTTATTTTCTAGGTTTGCTATGAACCTCCCTTTTCTTCTTTCCACTTAAGGAAAGAAAAGGGGGAAAAGCCCTCTCAGCACTTGTATTATGGCATTGATAGGTAAGGACTTTGACCTATGAGAACAAAGGTCCAAAGTTCAAACTGCAGAGAAAGTGCTATGAAAACCATGGGTGTTCAATAAGTATTGACCAATGGTAATGACAAAGAAGTAAGGTTATTATGTTTTGGGATAATGAAAAAATACAAAAGATAAGACAATGCTTCCTTGAGGGAATTACTGTGACAGAAGCATCATTAAGGACTTCTTGGGTAGATGGTGACTGGACAGGGCTATTGCTATGGTTATAAGTAGACATGGAACTAGATAACATTATAACTAATTGGCATTTAGGCCATCTTCAAAATAAATACCTCCCACCTAGACCTAACAGACTGTGCATTGATCAGCAGTCAATAAGGCTGTTAAAGTGATTGGGTTGTTTATACAGTGGCCTAGTAATTTAGTGCCCACAGAAAGACTCAGTGGATTACTTTGAATGTTGCTGTGAAACTCAATATTGATAACCAAGAATAAGTTGAACAATGCACATATAAAAGAGGGGGAAAGTGTTAACAATTTGACTTCAGTGTTAACATATTTATTCCAGGAGAGTAAAATCTCAGCTGATTAAAGTGAAATGCTAGCACAAAAGATTACTCACCACTTTTTTTTCTCTCTACCAGTCACTGGGTTTTGAGGCAAGAGAGCAAGAGAGAGAATAGTATGAATATAATATGAATGTTTAAGGAGGCCGACTCAGATTAAGAGAGACCTGAATTCCCAAATTTTAGCATCTGGTGGATTATCCTCTGTTTTAGATTATTTACAACTGCTTCATAATTTTAAGAGTACCTAAATTATGGTATCTTCCATCTGTGGGTCTGCTGCTTCCATAGGAGACTGAAGAGTTATTGCAAGGGTATCTATCTGCTTGAAAAAAGTTCCTTTCAATACCAAACCCTTTCTCCTTGGACTTTTTGTGATCTTTCTGGCAGGGAGTGAACATTTTCTTATGTGTCTAAGTTACTAGTATTTTATTTAAATCCTTATATGTTAGATGTAAAAGTGAAATCACATTCTTGGATTACATTTACTCACTATAAGCTACCCTATACAAAGCAGCCGGCTCAAGAGCCCAATTTCCACCACATTATATCTAAGCCCAAAGACAGCTGAGAATCAAAATAAGCAGTTGAGTGGCAATCTGGAACTTTGCTGCTCGAAAACATATCCTCCATCATTAAACTCCAGACTCACATTCAGAAGAATAAGTTCACACTGTGAGAGACAAGCAAGAACTGAGGCTATGGGATCATCTCTCAGTCACTCTGGGTCATGCACTCAGAGACTAGTCCTATCTACCACCAATTCACTACATTCTTTTTATCCCCTCAGTCCCCATCTTTGCCAAAGACGTATAATTACATTCATGTAAAATGTGTTAAGTGAAGGTATGATGCAATTCTATTGCCCTAGAGTGCAGAAATTACGTTATTGTTTCCCCAACTGCACTATATATTTTTAAATGAAGGCCCAGGGTATTAATGATTTATATCAGGAATGAATGCCAATACCCAAAGAAACTGGATTTTTGAATTTGTACGCTGCCATTCAAATAAAAGCAAAAAATCAACACACTTGATAATATTAGTTCCAAACACAAAAGGAAAGCATCATACCTGCAGAATATATTGTGTAAGGTCAACTGCTTCTTTCTTCTCATGAACAAGAAGAGTTTCTTTGTCTTGTACGATAATAATATTAATTTCTCCACGACGTACCTCCCTCATGCCCAAAGGGCGTTTTCGAACACAAACTCTGATTTTCTCCATCTCAGTCCAAGGATTCTCTTTCTCTGAGGTGTTCTGTCTGATACATATTTATAAGTGGGCTTTAATTTTTAATAATAGGATAAGGCTACTTAAGAGGTCAAAGTATCAGCACACTTTGTTATTTTATATATACATTACACTTAACATATATACACACCTTACGTATACATAAAATTTTCTCAGTATCAACACTTTAATATGTAACTTTACACATATTAGGTATATAGAAAGTTCTTTTATTATTATTTTTAAGATTTTATTTATTTGACATAAAGAGACACAGCGAGAGAGGGAATACCAGCAGGGGGAGTGGAAGAGGGAGTAGCAGGTTTCCCGTGGAGCAGAGAGCCTGTTGAGGCACTGGATCCCAGGACCCTGAGACCATGACCTGAGCCGAAGGCAGATGCTTAACGACTGAGCCACCCAGGCGCCCCTAGAAAGTTCTTTTATTAACTAAATCCTGATTACTTCTACCTCTATCCCTAATCCAGTCCATCCTTTGTCCTGCCAACAACAAACAAAAAACCCCAAAACCCTAAGAGTTGCTCTAGCTCTAAGACTTGTGTGTTTGGCTTCCAGATGTGGTCTTCCAAAAACTTCTAATGGTGGATGTTCTTTCTATATGTCCCCCCAAATCAGGCTGGTTAATCCTCAAAATCAAACACAGTATGTTGGGACCACCCCTCCAAGGCCTTTAAAAGACCTAAACCCAGGGGCGCCTGGCTGGCTCAGTCATTAAAGCGTCTGCCTTCGGCTCGGGTCATGATCCTGGGGTCCTGGGATCGAGCCCCACATCGGGCTTCCTGCTCAGCAGGAAGCTTGCTTCTCCCTCTCCTACTCCCCCTGCTTGTGTTCCTTCTCTCGCTGTGTCTCTGTCAAATAAATAAATAAAATCTTAAAAAAAAAAAAAAAGACCTAAACCCATGTCTTTTACTTCCTCTCAATCCAATTATTCTTACACATTTACTGTTTTCTCTCTCTTTTCTTTTTTTAAAGATTCTATTTATTAGAGAGAGAGAGAGCATAAGCAAGGGGGAGAGGGAGAAGCAGACTCCCTACCGAGCAGGGAGCCCGACGTGGGGCTTGATCCCAGGACCCTGGGATCACAATCCCAGCTGAAGGCAGACATTTAACTGACTGAGCCACCCAGGCGCCCCCATTTACTGTTTTCTTGACCATTTAATCTAATTTTTTTTTTATCCTACCTGGGTTTACAAAATACCTTGAATTATTAGGTGGTAGGTTTCAATGTACTTTTCCTCTGTTCCTCCTAAGTATATTCTGCCCCTCCCTTTGTCTTATTTTCTTACTTCCTCTTTTTGTCCACCTGATATGTGTTTGTTAGAACACAATCCTACATTTCTTCTTCCCAGGACAATTTTATCACTGGTGCTGCCCACCACTATCACCCTTCTATTAAGATGCATTTCTTTTCCGGCTCTGACTTCAGTGAACTTATCAACCTTAACAGCTAGACTATTTAATGAAATATTCCTTGAGCTAGGGATACAAAATTCATCAGGTTTACTTACTGAGCCTAATGAGGGTATACATGCGTATCTCTAATAACGGACCATTTACCTATATAGAAATTCCTCTTGGGGCACCTGGGTGTCTCAGTCCTTAAGTGTTTGCCTTCGACTCAGGTCATGATCCCAGGGTCCTGGGATCGAGCCCTGCATTGGGCTCCCTGCACCACGGGAGGCCTCCTTCTCCCTCTCCCACTCCCCCTGCTTGTGTTCCCTCTCTCACTTTGTCTCTGTCAAAAAAAAAAAAAAGGAAAAGAAATTCCTCTTAACCTAAGTAACATAGGATTCTTGTAAGTAGTCTACCAGGATCAATGCCTCTGGTCCATATACTAAGGATGTCTTAGACAAGACAAATTATTCCCTTCCTTTACACTTTAGAATTTGATTAATAGCCCCTAAAAAGCCTTTGTAATAGATTTTACACAGGATATTTCGCTATATAACTGTTTCATATCAATTTCAATTTTCTGAGACCTCCAACTGGCTGGAAAATTACTTTTTGCCAGGATTTAAATTAGTAAAAAGGAGCAAATAAAATTTCTAATATAGTTCTATACATAGAATAGTTCTAATATAGACCATAAAGGACTACTTCAGGCTTTTAAAGCATGTTTTTTTTTAAGGGGGGGGAGGGAGGAGAGGGAGAGAGAGAATCTTAAGCAGGCTCCATGCCTAGTGCAGAGCCCAACACAGGGCTTAAATCACAACCCTAAAATCATGACCTGAGCTGAAATCAAATGTTGGACACTTAACTGACTGAGCTACCAGGTGCCCCACCATGTTTTGTTTTGTTTTTTTAACCAACATAAAGCAGACTTTTAAGAATGTACCATTTTGAGGGGTGCCTGGGCGGCTCAGTCCTTGGGCGTCTGCCTTGGCTCAGGTTGTGATCCCAGGGTCCTGGGATCGAGCCCTGCATCAGGCTCCCTGCTCCACGGGAAGCCTGCTTCTCCCTCTCACACTCCCCCTGCTTGTGTTCCCTCTCTTGCTGTGTCTCTCTCTGTCAAATAAATAAAATCTTAAAAAAAAAATGTACCATTTTGAGGTTAAGTGTGGCAAAATCCTGACAATCATTAAAAGTGGATGATGGGCATATAGGGGATTCATTGATTTATTCTCCCTTCTGCATATGTTCGATTTTTTTTAATAAGAAAAACAAAAATTTTTTTTTTTTTTTTAAAGATTTTATTTATTTGACATAAAGAGACACAGCGAGAGAGGGAAGAGAGGGAACACAAGCAGGGGGAGTGTGAGAGGGAGAAGCAGGCTTCCCCTAAGCAGGGAGCTTGATGTGGGGCTCAATCCCAGGACCCTGGGATCATGACCTGAGCCAAAGGCAGACGCTTAATGACTGAGCCATCCAGGTGCCCCAGAAAAACACAATTTTAACGCATTATTTTAACAAGGGCCTCTGTCAAAATCTCTAGTTATTGGGAGTATTAATAACCTAATCGTATAAAGCTAATCAAAGGACAGAAAAGTCTTTTTCAAAAGTGACTACGGACTCTAGGATGGGTCATGTGGTCAAAAGGACTAGTTTTCCAGGTCAAGGGGCAAAAAAACAATGAATGTTCTTCTGCTAAAAGCCTCTTTTTTTTTTAAGATTTTATTTATTTGAGAGAGAGAGCAGGGTGGGGGAAGAGAATGAGTGGGGGGGACAGAGGGACAAGAAGACTCCCTGCTGAGTGGGGAGCCTGACATGGAGCTCGATCCCAGGACCCTGAGATCATAATCTGAGCCCAAGTCAGATGCTTAACCGACTGAGCCACCCAGGTACCGCTAGAAAGCTCTGGTTTTAATGCCCAGTGTTCCTTAGATGAAGTAAGCTGTATCTTTCTGACATGAAGAGTTAAGACAGCTGGAGTTAGGTCTTTTTAAGATCTCTAAATGCATTAGACTTATTAAAATTCTGAGAACAGAGGAGTTCCTGGGTGGTTCAGTCGGTTGGGCATCTGCCTTCAGCTCAGGTCATGATCTCAGTCAGGGTCCTGGGGTCAAGCCCCACGTCAGGCTTCCTGCTCAGCAGGGAGCCTGCTTCTCCCCAACACCCACCCCACCACTCCCCCACTTGTGCTCTCTCGCTGTCAAACAAATAAATAAAATCTTTAAAAAAAATTCTGAGACCAGTAATTTATTTTGAGCTTACTTGATTTGAGGCACCCAAAGAGAATGCTCTTTGGACAAGAAGACATCCTAACAGCAAGACTTAAGTTGGTGAGGGAATTTCTCAGGGTTCTGAAACCCTGACTGCTACTTAGAAATATTTGGGTAAGAAGATAATATGAGGGTTATTGGGGAAAATGTCCTTTTTTATCTCTATTTCCCTAATATAATAAAGAATGGGAAGAGTGATAAAATGACATAAAAAGTAAGAAAACTCAATGGAATAGCTTTCACTCTGGGTTTGTCATGTATAAACCTCTTATAAGAGCACGTATCTCACCATATGCTTGTTTGTCCTCCCACTCACTCCACCTAAGAGTCTAAGAGCCTCCACATATCCTGATTATCTTTAACTCTAGAATCAGATCTAGAAAAGGTAGTATTTAATATGTGCCAAATAAATGAAATAGCAATATTTAAATGAAAATATTCATTCTGTCCAATAATGCAAATTATTTGCAAAGTGATTATTTATAAATAATTCCAATTTAGATTTTTATGTGTTGTTCAATAAAAGACTAATATTCAAGAAAATATCTGTTCTTTCAGCAGAGCTAACCAATAGGGCAGCAACAATCCTGGCTTTGACAGTCATGGAACAATCTAGTTCTCTTAAGAGTTAAAAGAAGAAAAGAGTACTATATGCTCTGTGCTCTGCTAAACAAAATAGTTTTCAGAAATACTATAAAATGCAGTAAGTATTTCAAATTACTAAAAGTACTTTTACCTGTAAAATTACGTCTTTTATTTTTTGGGGGGAATAAAAGAACTGGTTGGTTATGAGATCCTCTGAAACCTTAGCCAATATAAGGCCAGATATAAATATACACCTTGTATTTATTTATTTATTTTTAAAGATTTATTTATTTGGGGGGGGAGAAGAGAGAGAGAGAGAGAGAGAGAATGAGAGGGGGGAGAGTCAGAAGGAGAAGCAGACTCCCTGCTGAGCAGGAGAGCCCTATGCGGGACTCGATCCCGGGACTCCAGGATCATGACCTGAGCTGAAGGCAGCCGCTTAACCACCTGAGCCACCCAGGCGCCCATTACACCTTGTTTTAAGGTATGAATAATAGCCTTAAAAAAAAAAAAAAAAGAAAACATGGCTTAAGAATGTATTTTGTGGGGCGCCTGGGTGACTCAGTTGTTAAGCATCTGCCTTGGGCTCAGGTCATGATCCCAGGGTCTTGGGATTGAGCCCCGCATCGGGCTCCCTGCTCAGTGGGAAGCCTGCTTCTCCCTCTCCCACTCCCCCCTGCTTGTGTTCCCTCTCTCGCTGTGTCTCTGTCAAATAAATAAAAATCTTAAAAAAAAAAAAAAACTTATTTTGTTTTGGGCTCCTGGGTGGCTCAGTCGTTAAGCGTCTGCCTTTGGCTCAGGTCATGATCCCAGGGTCCTGGGATCAAATCCCACATCGGGCTCCTTACTCGGCAGGAAGCCTGCTCTCCCTCTCCCACTCCCCCTGCTTGTGTTCCTGCTCTCGCTACCTCTCTGTGTCAAATAAATAAATAAAATCTTAAAAAAAAATGTATTTTGTTTTTCCATAATTCACCATGTATAACTTTTAAAAATAACCGAACAACAAATATATGTGTTTTCTATTATACCAATGCTGGTATTAGGGATTATTCAATATTTCAGCTCTTAGGGACCTTATTTCAACAGTTATGTTAAAGCACTAGGTGAAAATAACTTATTATCACCCTATCAAAGTCTAAACTATATCAAAAGTGTCTTACTCTTTTGCAATCACCAAAATCGTATGTTCTTGCAGGGCTAGAATTGAAGAAAACACTCAAAATCAGGACCACATTCCAGTGTGTGCAGGTTACCTAATTGCATGAAAGACCTACTTAATTCAGCTACATGCTCTTTGTTTTTAACTAAGCTTTATGTCTCCTGGTTGGTTGAAGTGAATTTGATAGCCTTAAAAAAAATCCTGTGGAACGAACACACACACAGACACACACACTTTTTCCATTGCAGAAGGCCAGTTAACTGTTTTACCTTCAAGGATGCATTAGATGTATCATGTTACACTATAATAAATAATAGAAATAGGTCTGCTAACGGAATAATAGCAGATCCTGGCAAGTAACAGCTGTCTGACATACGCGAACAATATCATCTTTCTCCCATCTGGAAAGTCCCAATTCCTCATGAACTTTCCCCCATCAAGGCACTTCTACTATTGTTGTAGAAGCTGTTCACTATAATTTTCTGTAAATAAGGGTAGTTGCTCTCAGTCATGGAGGCTTGCCCTTGCCTGATGTTACCCTACACCCCAAAAAACATAAAAATAATTACCTGATACAAGATTGAGGGATTCCATAGTTATACCCTGAGACATAAGAGACTCTTTGAATAATGGGAATATCATAATCCCCCAGTAGTGGAGAAAAGTGATTTGATGAAAAGAGTGAAGTGTTAGTTTCTGTTTGCACATAGGAACCAGCAGCTGCAGCACTCAGAATTCTTGTTTTGGTAGGGGATTGGAGATCATCCGGCAGCATGTGCTCCAGCACTTTTAGGTAACTAGACTTCTGGTCATTAGCAGAAAAATCTGATAAACTGCACATCTCAAACCCACTGTTGTTGGTAATTCTGTCCTTGTTGTGAGCAGGAGAATCAAAATGCAGTTGCCTGCGAGGGCCAGATCTGGCTTCCCGAGGTTTACTGCACAGGCTGTTTGTCTGAAGAGGATGCTCTGGGCTACTGACTGCTTTATCTTCTTCCTGCAGAATTTTAATGATTTTGATAAGCTGGAAGAGACGTTTGCGGTCGTTCATGTCACGTACTCCCAATTTGGAGTAGTCCTTCATTGTAACCTTGGCTAATTCATCTATTTTTTGAAGGCCAAGGGCAGTAAAATGAGGATAATACTGTGCAAGTTCAGCTTCACAAAGACATTCATACAACCAGGATGTCATTTTTTGTGAATAAGTGTCTATAAATTCTGAAAAGGAAAAAAAAAGCCATTTACTTGAAATATAGTATATATATTCCTTTAAAAAAAATAAAAATCACAAAACATGCAGAAAAATCCATTCTAGCATACCAAGTTTTTAAATATATTTTTCTTCTGAAAAAATTAAACAGCACAGTGCATAAGTGTAGATGCTTATGATGCATTTGTAGTAACAGATGTAATTCATCTGCTTAATACAAACGGAACTTCAATTGCATATATATACAGGTACATGCACATACACACACAATGCAAATCACTTACTTATTTCTAGGGAGTTCCTTCCAAGCTTGCAATATCTACTTAACACATGCCACCAACTACTGAAACCTTGTTCCCAACCACTGATTGTAGCAGGACTAATTTTAGATGTTCAAGTTAATGTCAAGGCATGTTGCACAACTGTTTCCTATGATTAATGAACAAAGGCTAAGAACTCTTTCAGAATGGAAAGCAGAATTAAATAGCAAACCACAGAACTGATATAACTCAGAGGAAATCACATTTGTATCTGCTGAGTACTGATAAAAGTTAATTGAATAAAGAAGTAAAAACATCATTAATTCAGAATCTAATTCAGGATCTAGATCATTCTAAAAGGTAGGTGAAGGTAGGTGGTTGTAGATGTTAACTTGTACAGAATATAAAATAACTGGGATAAATAAATAACCTAGGAAAGTAATACTATGGTCAAGATTTTATATGGTTGCTGGAGCACCTGACTGGCTCAGTCAGAAGTATATGTAACTTGATCTCAGGGTCGTAAACTCAAGCCCAACACTGGGTGTAAAGGCTACTAAAAAAATAAATAAATAAACTTAAAAAAAAAAAAAGATTTTAGAGGTGCCTGGGTGGCTCAATCAGTTAAGCATCCAACTCTTGATTTCGGTTCAGGTCATGATCCCAGGGTTGTGGGCCCCACATTGGGCTCCACGCTTGGTGGGGGATCTGCTTGAGATTCTCTCTCCCACTCTGCCCCTCCCCAGCTTGTATTCTCCCCTCTCTAAAACAAAATCTTCAAAAAAATAAAAAAGATTTTATATGGTCGAACATTGACATGCTTAAAAAATTTTAACACCAAGGTATTTAATCAAATACTAATAAATGATGTGTTAATAACACATAATCCTGTTCTATTATAAAGTCAGGAACCCTGAGAAATTCTCCACACCACTGTTAATCAAGCTGAAGTTCATGAAAATATTAAAAACTACATTTTCTTTCTAAAAACTGTTTTATAATTCAGTTTTCAAAATTCAGTTAATTCTTGGTAAAGCTTTTCAGGGTTTTTTTTAAGATTTTATTTATTTATTTGACAGAGAGAAACACAGTGAGAGAGGGAACATAAGCAGGGGGAGTGTGAGAGGGAGAAGCAGACTTTCCGCGGAGCAGGGAGCCCGATGCGGGGCTCGATTCCAGGACCCCAGGACCATGACCTGAGCCGAACGCAGACGCTTCACGACTGAGCCACCCAGGCGCCCCAAATTTTTCTGCTTTTCATTTTAATTTATATTTTGTCTTCATTCTAGGAGAAACAGAGTTCAGGGTCAGATAATAAAGGTGATTAAAGTACCCTGTATAATTAACTTCGGAGGTAATGCTACTTAAGAGTAAGGAAAAGGCCAAAGAAGAGGCTACACATCCTAAACTCATTCTGCCCTTTTCCATTTGTGGAAGATTTGGGGGATTCGGGGAGGGCCACAAATTCTTGGCATGTCCTTTCACATCAAGAGGCAGTGTTTTTTTCCTCCCATTGCATCTAGGCTGGCTTTGTGACTGTTTTGCCTGACAGAATGTGGTGGAGCGACACTGTGTGACTTCCATGCCTAGGCCTCAAGAACCCTTGCAGCTTCTGCTGTTCTCTTGCAATTCTTTTGCTGCCATGTGAAGAAGCCCAACCAACAGCCATCATCAAAGACAGCCATGTCAGAGACGCCATCTTAGACTATTTGGCTCCAGTGTCACCATCAAATGATTGCAGCCACATGAGTGACCCCCTGTGAGACCAGAATTACCTAGCTAGGCCTGGCCCAAATATGTGACTCACAGAACAGTGGGCAAATAAAATAGTAATTGTTTTAAACCACTTAATTTTGGGGAAGTTTACGTCACAACAGTAGATAACTGCAACACTGCTTCTATGCCATTTGAAGTGTTATACCTTTGCCAGTTTATGTTGCCAACCCCGTCTCCTAAAATGAGTTAAGCCCATCCTTTCAAAATAGCTCAATAGCTCTCTGCCCCACCCCCCATAAAGCCTTCTTTCATTTCGCATCCTCTTCTACCATTTACCACCAAGCACCCTAAACAGTAGCTGAATCAGGCCCTTTACCAACCCCTTTAGTACTGTTTCTTCTACCTGGAATATGTGTCTTTCCCAAGAAAAACTCTACTTATAGTTTTCTTCTGTGAGGTATGCCCTAGGCAAAGGATTACTGGTATTTCCTCTGTACTTCAGTAGTAATAATAATAGCAACTAATATTGTTGAGCATTTATTATGTAGCAGGCACTAAGTACTATTTGTTAAACTTCAAGCAACCCTATGAAGTAGATACATGTGCAATCTTTGGCAAGTTACTTACTCAACATCTATGAAACTCATTTTTCTCAACTGTTAAATGGGAATGTAATAGTCCCCACGGTGCCTACGATTAGAATTCAATGAGAGAATACTTGTAAAACTCTCAGCATAACACCTGGTATATACTCAGTGCCCAATAAGTGTCAGTAGTTATTACTACGATGATTTCTTTTTTTTTTTTTTTTTAAGATTTTATTTATTTATTTGACAGAGAGAAACCACAAGCAGGGGGAGCGGCAGGCAGAAGGAGAGAGAGAAGCAGTCTCCCTCTGAGCAGGGAGCCCGATGTGGGGCTGGCTCCCAGAATCCTGAGATCGTGACCTGAGCTGAAGGCAGACGCTTAGCCACCCAGGTGCCCCATACTGTAATTTGTTTTTTTATTACTTATCTTCACCTAGCACAGAAGCTAGAACAGAATAAGGCTTCAATGTTTTGGTATGTTTTAAGTTACTCCCAAGCAGTTACATTTCCTACGTGACTCAGCCTAACCCAGAGCGACAACAGGTTAAGTGCTATGCAGTCTTCCTATATTTCACACACCCATTCCCTTGGTGACATACCAAACTCTGATTACCATGACCTCTACTGCATTCCTTAATCAGTATCTGAAAGACTAATGTGTTCATCTTGCAACGCTTGGCTATCCCATACTATCATGAGAGGGGAAGATGCTGGAGCCAGCAGTAATCTGGATATGCAGATTAAAGCAGCCGCGGGCATACTTCTACATAAAGCTACATAAAGCGCAGCATGCTGCCTTTCTGAGCCCTATAGTTAGCCTACATTCTTTTGTTTTATTTTTTGCATTTTCTTTTTTCAGTGCAAAAAGGTGTTTTTATTAAAGCACAGGGACAGGACCCATGGGTAGAAAGAGCTGCTCGTTTGTTCTAAAATTAGATATGCTTTTTTGGTATCACATTCCATTTTACAAAGGTCCAACCTCCTCCTTCTTCTGGGGCAGAATCACCCTAGGAATTTAAAAATATAAAGATACTAAGTTAAGCAGCTGCCTTCAGCTCAGGTCATGATCTCAGGGTCCTGTGATCAAGCCCCGCATGGGGCTCTCTGCTCAGAGGGGAATCTGCTTCTCCCTCTCCTGTGCTAAGAAATAATAAAATCTTAAAAAAAAAAAAGGAATTAGTATAGGGACTGGTTAAATAAATAATAGTAACCCATTAAATGGGTTACTATGAAGCAATTACAGAGAATAAGTAAATTCTCAATGTATTACTGAAGAAAAAGCTCTCCAATATATTTAAAAGTGACTAAAGCAAGGTACAGGACAGTTTGTATGTTTGTAAAGGTTTGTAAAGGTACCACTTATTAAAGAAAAAGAGAGATATCTATGATAGATCTATATATTTGCTTATCAGGCATAAAGTATCTCTGATAGGATGCACAAGAAAGAGTATTGGCCTCTAGGGGGAGGGGAACTAGTTGAGAGGGCAAGTGTGGGAAGGAGATTATTATATACCAATAAATGCCAGTAGCTATTACCTTTCCTATTGCTATTTCACTGCTGTCTCCATCACCTAGAACAGCTGTTTTTTAACTTATGAAACTATGTGACTATATAATTTATTTTAAAAATATATTCCTAGGGGCGCCTGGTGGCTCAGTCGTTAAGCGTCTGCCTTCAGCTCAGGTCATGATCCCAGGGTCCTGGAATGGAGCCAGCATCGGGCTCCCTGCTCTGCGGGAAGCCTGCTTCTCCCGCTCCCACTCCCCCTGCTTATGTTCCTGCTCTCGCTATCTCTGTCAAATAAATTCTTAAAAAAAAAGAAAAAAGAAAAATATATATATATTTCTAAATCCACCTACCTTCCTCCTTCCCAGCCTTCTCAAATTGACCTGATACAACTACTTGTTCCTATTTTGGTGTTTTTCCCTCTAGCTTTTTTTTAATGCATTTTTTTACATTGTATATAACATTGTACTCATAACCATATTGCAATCTACTTTATTTAACATAAGCATTTTCATATTGTTTGTTATAGCCATTAAAAATAATTCACACAGGGCGCCTGGGTGGCTCAGTTGGTTAAGCGACTGCCTTCGGCTCAGGTCATGATCCTGGAGTCCCGGGATCGAGTCCCACATCGGGCTCCCTGCTCGGCGGGGAGTCTGCTTCTCCCTCTGACCCTCTTCCCTCTCGTGCTATTTCTCATTCTCTCTCTCTCAAATAAATAAATAAAATCTTTAAAAAAAATAATAATAATTCACACAATTATAAATAATGTTTGCTGAATAGATGAATTACCCCAGGGAAATGTGATTTCTCTCTCCAAATTTCTACAGTGTTTCGATTTTAAAACTGATTGGGCACTTATTACAGACTCATATATATTTATTTATTGCCAGCCTTGTTCTAGAGATGATGTAAGGTAGCTCTGCCTTATACTATAG